ACCACGCCTTTTCCAGATAAAACTTTAGGACTTGGACCTGCCGTAATTTTACGTCTTATTAATACAATACCAGAAGGTTCATCTGTATTTTTCGATCGTTATTTTACGACTATTCYATTGATGCAGAAATTAGTACAGCTAAAAATTCATGGAACTGGTACCTTACAACTTAATCGTTTACAAAAATTTCAATTTAAACCAGATACTAAAATGAAGAGAGGGGATTTTGAAGAAGTTGTATCTRATGATAAAAATATTTGTCTATTGAAATGGAAAGATAACAAATCAGTAGTTACGACATCGACTTGTTATGRAGGTTTACCAACATCATCAGTATCCAGATGGGATAAAAAACAAAACAAATATATTGACGTACAAATTCCAAATATGATATCAAAATATAATGAAAAAATGGGTGGCGTTGATCATTTTGATCAAATGATGGAATACTATAGAACTTGGTTAAAAACAAAAAAATGGCCACTTAAAGTTATACTACACTTACTTGACCTAACAGTAACAAACAGTTGGTTTGAATATTTACAAGATTGTAAAATTAATAAAGTACCGAAGAAAAAAATTAAAGATTTGCTCCAGTTTAGAATGGAAATTGGCGAAAGCTTAACTACGGCGACACCACCACCACCTACATACCAAGTCAGCGAAGAGGATGAAGAACCACCGAAAAAAAAAAATTCACACGCGTCTATACCAGGAGATGATGTGAGACTGGATGGATGCCATCATTGGCCGAGAGTGATGGACCTCAAAGCACCTCTGAGTTGTAGACACAAAGGTTGTGAAAGTAGGTCCAAAGTCATATGTATGAAATGTAAAACTTATTTGTGTATGTCAAAAGGAAAAACTTGTTTTGAAGACTTTCATAAGTTTAAATAAATATTACCTATTTTTTAAATTTATAAACTAAAATAATTATAAGTACTTACCTACTAATGATATAAAGTTATGTATTAATTACAATTTATTATGTTTGAAATAAAATAAAGTTTTTTTTACGTATTATGCATTGATTGCCAGATTGCCTATATATATTTTTCTAGTTGTGAAGACCGTACCCTCACGATCGTGAAGGGGTAGTTTTGACCTCCCCTGAGGTGATTTTTTTTTTAAATATTTTTTAGGTAATATCTAGGGCATGTCTAAAAGTGTTATACAAGTCAATTGAAAAAACAATTAAAAAAAAGTTTTCGGYCTGTAAGGGATAACCTAATATGTTATAAAATGTATATGAAAGTTTAATTTTTTTATATTAAGTATTAATTAAATCATTTGACAATATTTATTTATTTAAAAAATAAAATCAAGGCTCATCCTGTAGCAAGTGTGGACAATCTAAAGGCAATTTTCAATCAACTCTAAGAGTTTCGGAAAATACTGTATTATCATTATTAACACGTTGGC